GGGGCCGAGGCGCTAGCCAGAGGGCGGCGCCAGCAGGCCTTCGGAGCCGCAGACCGTGGCCCTGGAGAGTGGGGAAGGGGCCAGGCTCCCATTCCGGCCACGTCAGCTACACCCCTTGTATTGGACCAGCTCCTCGCCCCCAACACCCACGTTCTCGCTCTCCGCCAGTCCTCCCCTCCCCCCTCAGCCCCGGGAAAATGCCTCCAAAGTTTGGAAAGTTGGATAGATGCCAACTCACTGTCCTGGAGGGGAAGAAGCTGTGTTACCTGGGGGAGGAGGTCTGCTGCCCCGCCCCCACGAACACTGAGCTGTGCCCACGGGTGACTCCGAGGAAGGGGCATTCTCGGGTGTGGTGGGTGCCCGTGCATGACGAGCAAGGTCTGGGCTGGTTCCTCTGGGCACGTCCTTCTCTAATCTCTAATCTGGCAACACCCCAAGGCCGGGATGGCATTAACTCTTTTCTGGCTGTGGCCGCAGTGGAGCAACTGTAACCGCCCTGATAATGTGGTTAATCTGCATGCGTGTGTGGCGGGGGTCAGGTCAGGCCTAAAAATACCTCCTCCTCCACCCCCGGCCCCTTGGAGCCTGGAGGCAGCTGGCTGGCCTTTCTTTCAGCTGTCCCTTGTCCTCTGGGTGCCACTCCCTTTTCCCAGCCTGGGGTGGTGGTGTGAGAGGAGTCGGAGCTTCCTGGGTGATCCTCTTAAGTTTGTAGGGATCCCCAGTTGCAGAGGTAGGGTGTATGTCTGGTTTAAAGAGGGGTGTAGGAGGGAGGATTCTGGGGTTCCCTGATGCCCATCTTTGCCATCTATTCCTCCTCCTCCTGGTACTTGGGCCCAAGGAACCAGAGATCCTAGTCTGGTCATGGCTTAGGTACCTTCTTTGGTAAAGAAACTCTAGGATGCAGGCTGGGGGCACGGGCTTGGAGGGCCTAAACCTTCATTCATCATGACCCCCTCCTCTGGCCTGGCCTGGGGTCAGTGTGTGTGTGTGAGTTGGGGAGGGCTAAGAAGCAGCCCCCTTCAGGAGGCCTGGACATAGCTGCATGTGCGGCTGTTTGCGTGGTCAGGCAGTGTCCACTCCAGCCAAGACAGGAGCCTCCTCAGTGAGACTGAGCCAGCCTACCCCAGGGGCTTGTGGGAGCTGTCTCCTAGGCTCATCTTGGGGCAGGGCCAAGGGGCATTTAGATTGATGCAGCCTGGTGGGTACCATGGGGACAGGATGTTGGCAGTGGCAGCTGGGGGTTAGTGGGAGGGTGCTCGATCCCTCTTGCCCCCTTGGGGAGAGGTGAGGCCTGAGAAAAAGTCCTGCCAGGGTAGGGGGTGCCCCATGGCAGTGGGCCAGGGTTAGAAGTTTACTTGCCACACACCTCACCCCTTCCCCAGAAATCTAGTGTGGGGTCTCCTAGAGCTGAAAGCTGCCCTCACTCCTCCCCGCTCTGCAAAAAAGGAAAGCAAGAGTTGGGCACAAGAAGAGCCAACCGGGGCCCTATTGGCAATTGGCAGTTCCTCTTCTCTCTGGGGGCCACAGGCACACTCAGCCTGCTCCCCTCCAGCTGAGGGAGAGCGGGAGAGGGACTTTCCCCCGGTTTCTTCACCACCACCACCACCCCAGCACTGCAGGCGGCTTCTCCCTTCCCTCCAGGCCTCTGCAGCCTGCCCAGCATCTTAATTAGCTTTGCTGCCTAATGAGCCTCCAGCTACTCAGTGCCTCCCCCTTCCCAGCCTCTCTGGCTTAGTTTGAGGGCTCTCTTGCACTGTCCCCCGACCCCATGGCTGTGGTCTGGGCCCTCCCTCCCCTTCGGGCTGTACCATCTCAGGAAGAATATGGGGGGCTGTTCAGATCAGGGAATGATATTTCCAAGGCTTCGCTGTAGCTCTGGCTGGATAAGGTAAGGGCTGGGAAGGGGCCTTTCTGATTCCACGCTTGTCCCTTCCTGGCTCCTCCAGGGCAAATACAGCAAGAGGAAAGGACGGTTCAAAAGGTCGGACGGGAGCACGTCCTCGGATACCACATCCAACAGCTTTGTGCGCCAGGTAACCGGCATGCTGGGCGGAGAGGAGGGAGGTGGCTGGCTGCTGGAGCCCGGCTTCGGTGAGCTGGGCCTGAGGCTTTCTCCAGGCACCCTCCCCCGTGCCATTTGTCACCTGCCTGGAACCACCCATCACGCTGACACCCCATGACCTCTCCTGCCTGTGCTGTCAGCTGTAACCACGCCCTCAGCCCCCGCCCAGCCCCTCCCCCAGCACCAGGCACCAACCCCTGTTGCCTGCCTGCGTCATCTCATTCAGGGACAGCCTGGCTTGCCTCCTAGCTTGCTTCAGGCTGTCACCCACTCCCCCTGCCGGCTGTCTGCGTCCACGTCCTCCCCCAGAATCTGTGACAGCGTTGGGTAGAGGCAAGTCCTAAGAAATGAGGAGCCAGGACATTTGAGTCCCTGGAGCCCTGGTCAGGTGTGGGTCAGGGAAAGGCGCTCCTCATATCCAGATGTGACTCTTCCTTAATATGCAGAGAGAACGGGTGTTGAAGGAGGTGGGGTACTGGCAGGAGGGAGTTGATTTGAGCAAGGACTTTAGCCCAGCATCCCTGACTGAAGGCAGGGTCACTGAATAGCTTTCGGGGGTCTTCTGTGCTCAGTGAGGAAGACGCCGTTCTCATCTCTGTTCTAAGTCTCAACCCCAGGCCATCTCAGGCGCAGGGAGAAGCAAGTGGTTGCTATGACTACAGAGCATCTCAACAAAAAAGGGACAGGGGCTTGGGATCAGACAAGGAAAAGGAGTGTGTTGAAGAGGAAGTGGGCGGGGCGTATGAGGGCAGGGGTAGTTGGGAGGAAGGGCCCTGTGGAGGTCAAGGCCCCTCTGGGACCAGGAGCGGGAGGATGGTACCAGGCAGATCCACCACAGACTGGAGTGAGGCCCTTCTTTTTGATTCCTGTTTCCCTAGCACTTGGCACATGTGAGCCCAGGAAAGGCACGCTTCGTCCTAGCATCTCTTAAGTATACAAACAGGAAGTCCTTTCCTCAGTCTCTCCTTCATCCCTCCTGTTGCAGGACTGGGCTAGGAAGAAAGATGCTATGCTCTCGGTGTAACCCCCCTTGACAGAAAAAGGACTTGGTTCCCTCAGTGTTTGGTAACCCGGGTTGTCAGACCCCAGTCTCTAATCCTTTCTCCTCTCATCTCCCTAGCCCTGACCCCCAGTAGGTGGCAGGGAGTGGGGGGGCAGTCCTTGCCACATCTCTGAGCTAAATATACCCTAGCAGTTTGCACATGTAGCAACTCTGCTTGTAATCTGAGCCCCCTGGGGGAGCGGGCAGTTTGGGCCACCTCCTAGGCCAGCGGGGCCAGGCACTGAGGGCGCTGTGATGGAGGCGCCCAGCCGGACCCTCGTGGTGGTGAGCTGGGGATGGGGGGCAGGGTGGGAGCAGCCCCTCAGGGAAGCCTGCCTCTCTGCCTCCTCACTGTTTCCCTGTCTCCTGCCATTTCTGCCATGTCTGTGTGCGTGCATGTGCGTGAACGCGTGTGCATGTGTGTGTCGGTCAGTAGGTGCCTCTCTGTCACTCTTTCTGGCTCTCTGTGCATCTGTCTCCCTGACTGAGTGCTCCCGTCGGGAGGGGTGAAGAGTGATCGTCGAACTGGTTTCCACTCTCCTTTCTTTACGTCTCTTTTCCAGCTTCTGTTAGTGACTTCACCCCCCACCTCCAACCTGTCCCCTCACGAGTCTCCCATTTTCATGATTTGGCTGGGAAAAGGATGGACAACTGCACTAGCTAATGACCAGGGCCCTCTGAGGGAGGTGGGACTGTGTCTTCTCTCCTCAGGTCCCCTCCATACCAGCTAATGGGCATTTCTAGACAAGTGACCCTTTCGTGCCCTCAGGAAAAAAATACCCACACCTCCTCAGTCCTGTTCTTCCCCACGTCACCTTCCACCCCTTGTAGCAATAGCACTGCTGCTCAGACACACAAATCCACGCCTCCTGGCTCCTGCCCTCAGGTGCTGTACACCCTTAGGCACACTGACACCTAGGGTGCCCCCTGTATGTGCTCCCGGGTACCTGCTTGCATTCAGTCATGACATCCAGCACATACTACAGCACACACCCTCCTAAATGGACTTGAAGTTGCACATCCAAGCGCACCCATGAGTAAGCGTGTTCACTCACACTGCGGGTCTGGACTGTTGGTGTCTTACACATGTGCCTGCATCGCTGAAGGAGTTAGGCTCTGGGATGGTCGATGTGATCCTGGCACACCCCCACTTCTGAGCCGGCCTTACCCCTGGCAGCTGCAGCCCTGGCAGTAAGGAAAGGCCTGCCCCGTGTCCTGCTCTTCACTGGCCTCTGCTGCCTGCACCATCTCAGGAATCTTGGACTTTCTTTTGTATCTTCTGGGAGCCTCAGGGTCGGGGCTCCCCTGGTTCTGCCGGGGGAGGTAGGATTCTGTCTTCCCTCACCCGTGAGCACAAGACAGCAGAACTTTTGGCGGCCCCGTCAAGCCAAGCAGGCTGCCCACTGCCAACAGTGCAGAAAGCTCAGGCCTGTGCTGGTGGCTGCAGTCCCTGGAAGGACCCACTGGGCTTCCGCTGAGTCTGTCTCAGCTGGTGCTGAGGGGAGGGGAAGGAACGAGGAGCAGGGAGGGGAGATTCGTCCCCTGGCACTCCTCTATGGCGCTGCCCCTATCAGGTTCCTGCCCCTCCCGGCCCGAGCAGCTGTCCTTGGACCTGCCTTAACCCCTGGCTCGCTGCCGTCACCCTTTCTAGGGCCACACCTTTCTTGTGGGCCTGCAAACCTCAGTCCCTTCTAATACCACCTTCTTCTAGCCCTATGGCATCGTGCTGGGCTGCCTGAGGCTTGAGGCATCCATGATGGGTGGCATCTCCATGCCTTCTGAGGCCTAGGAGCTGGGGAGGGAGTGTTGGCCCTGAGCTGGCCCTGTCTTTTCAGGGCTCAGCGGAGTCCTACACCAGCCGTCCATCGGACTCTGATGTGTCTCTGGAAGAGGACCGGGAAGCCTTAAGGAAGGAGGCAGAGCGCCAGGCATTAGCCCAGCTTGAGAAAGCCAAGGTGAGAACGAAAAGTCCTAGAAAGACCCTGGGTCAAGTCTTGGCCCAGCCACTTCCTAGCTGGTATACCCATGGGCCTCAGTGGGCCTCTGTCTTTCACCTATAAAATGTGGGCTAGAAACCTGCCTGCTTATACAGTCCAAAGTGTCTGATACTGTTTCCACACATAATAGGAGCTTGAGAAGGGCTAAAAACTTACACTTCTTTCTGGAGTCAAACTTCCTGGGCTGCTCTTACTAACTGTACAGTGATCCTAGGCAAGTCACTTGACCTTTCTGAACTTTAGTCTCCTCATTCATTAAAATGAAGATAATAATACTTCTTAGGATTTTTGTGATAAATAAATGAGATAATGCATGTGAAACATGTAACACAGTACCTGGCACACTAAACAGTAGCTTATTGTTATTACTAGAGCCCCGATGCATGAAATTCATGCAAGGGGCTCAGCTCTCGCAGCCCTGGCTTCGTCCGGAAGGTCGTTCGGCTGTCCGGTCTAATTAGCATATTACACTTTTATTATTATAGATTATTATTATTCCTTTTAGGTGTCGTTCTGGGCTTCCCCCACCCCTAATACTTATCACTCCCCAGTGTCCCCCTCCACCCTGAGAGGGCTGAGTTCTACTTTTTGCTTTCTTTTTAATTGTGAAATTTAACACGTATGCAAAAACCCTACGAAACCATTCGGTATTGCTTTTAATGAACAATTGATGAAACAAACCTCCACATAATCGCCACCCCAGTCAAGAAGTTGTACATGTTTACATTATGGTCTAACCCTCTGGTTGTCACCCTCCCTGTGCGCCTCCTCTAGACCAAGCCGGTGGCATTTGCTGTTCGGACAAATGTCGGCTACAACCCATCTCCAGGGGATGAGGTGCCTGTGCAGGGAGTGGCCATCACCTTCGAGCCCAAGGACTTCCTGCACATCAAAGAGGTGGAGAGAGCACTTGGCATCTGGAGGGTAGTGGGTACCAGGGGAGGGGCATCTGGAGAAAGATTTCTGAGCCAAGCAGAGCTGGGCTGAGGCTGCTGTGCCGCCTTAGACAAATCTTTCCGCCTCTCTGAGCCTCATTGGTGAAACGGGGTGGTCATGCCCAGGTCACAAGGCTGTTGTAAGTGGAGTGGAAGCTTGCCAGGCACGTGTAGGTGCCAGTGTGTGCTTCTCTCCCCGCCTTTCCAGGGCAGGACGGACACGTGGGGAAAAAGGAGTCTCAGAACAGGGATGTGCTGGGGGCAGGGTGATCCATGGCCCAAGAGGATGCTGGTCCTGGAGTGGTCCTGAAAATTGGGGCTGTCCTCAGAGGCTGGAGCCAGGGTGGGACTCTTTGAGGGGGCCACCCCCTGGGCAGGGTAGGCAACTCCCAGGGTAGTTTCCCCTGCAGGGTGGCTGCTGGCTTGCACCTCCAATCTCCCTCTTGGTCTCTCCCACCCCACCTGCTGTTGTTTGCAGAAATACAATAATGACTGGTGGATCGGGCGACTGGTAAAGGAGGGCTGTGAGGTTGGCTTCATCCCTAGCCCCGTCAAGCTGGACAGCCTGCGTCTGCTGCAGGAACAGAAGCTGCGCCAGAACCGCCTCAGCTCCAGGTGTCTGGCTGGGGGTGGGGCACTGCCAACCCCGGGAGAGGCCATTCAGCCAGGACCTGGCCTCAGGGTGGCCCTGAGGGCACAGAGCTGCCTGTGGTATCACCCGTGGGGTTGGAGAATCTTGGGGGCAGGGCAGCATGTGAGAGAACGAGATTCCCCCACCCTCACACCCACCCCTTAGCTCACAGTTCCATTTGCCTCTCTACCCACACAGCAAATCAGGTGACAATTCCAGCTCCAGCCTGGGAGACGTGGTGACTGGCACCCGCCGCCCCACACCCCCTGCCAGTGGTAAGAGCTGCTGCCTCCCCAGGGAGTCATGGGAGCTTCTGGGTGGGCTGGTCTCCCCACTGCCCTTCCCTTCCTTCCCCTGCAGTAGAGGGTACCCCATTCCTGAGTCCTCCACACACATTCAGGGGTCCCCTCTCCATGAAGAGTAGGACACCCCACAAACTGGGCCAGTCAGCACCCATCCTCTCATGTCTCTCCTCTCCCATTTCTTTGGTAGCTCCATTTCTCTGCCTGACCCCCCTCCCCCTCCCCCTATTCATTTCTCCCAGCCCTGTTCCATTCACCTCTTCTTCTTTCTTTTTCCCCCATCCCATCCCCGCGTTCTGTATTTGTGTCTCCCTGTCCATCTCACTCCCCGCCACCTCGCCTCCCTCCTCCCTCTCTCCTGACTCTCCGGTCCAGGTAACGAAATGACTAACTTAGCATTTGAACTAGACCCCCTAGAGTTAGAGGACGAGGAGGCGGAGCTTGGAGAGCCCGGTGGCTCTGCCAAAACTAGTGTTAGCAGTGTCACCACCCCGTCACCTCATGGCAAACGCATCTCCTTCTTCAAGAAGGTAATCCTTGCTGGGTTCTTGTAAGCGGGGAGGAGGTCAGGGCCCAGACCCTGGGGCCGGGGGGAGGGGACCGGAATGGATTC